AGTAGCTGTTAGATTCAATTGTAGAAACATTTAATTTAGGTTTTATATATAACTATATATATATATATAAAATATAAATACATATAGAATTATACATGTATTATAGTTAATAAAATAATTTATTTTATTTTTATTCATTTAAAATTGAAAAATAGAATAATTTAGAAATAGAAATAAATTATTAAATTAACGATATAATAATGTATAAAAAAAAAGTAATTTAATAATATTTTAATATTGTCTGTTTTATATTTTAGTTATCTACCTTTTTTTTTAAAAAAGAAATATGAAATAATAATAAGAAAAACTTACCGTAAATATGATAATGATATAACTTGATATTGACGAAATAAATATCGATGAAAAAAAATATCGTTAATGATTTCAGTGTGTTGATAAATGCAGATCTTAATATTAAATAAATATCAATAAATGCAAAACATTTTTAAAATATATTATTAATGATTTAGACTAGTAATCTACTTACAAGAAGAATACTTCGAAATATCTGTAATATGGTAAAATAACGATGTATTTAAATCATTTGATCATAGAGTCGGTAAATTGACATTCGTAAGATAAATGAATTTGATTGGTTGATTTTGAAAAATTCAATACATTTAAAAAAATAAATATATATATTGGTCAAAAGGTAAGGTTATATAGCATCGCGATGAGTAGTGGAGGGAGGTATTCCCCTTGCCTCTATGCCATCCCTAACATTATTAGTTCTTCACGTGATAGAGTAACATCTACAGGAAATGTACGTTTGATTTTATTTTTATCTATTAAACTTTTATAATAAAGAATAGATGGAACAAATATATTAAAATAAATGCAATAAATATATATATGAAAATCGAAGTAACTACTAATAAAATCAATGAAGCAGTATAATCTAATTATTTATATAAATGGTAAGTCAAATAATTTTAATTACATTATATAATTACAATATTATATTATATTATAAAGAATATCATTGAAAAAAAAAAATATATATATATATATATATATATATATATGTATGTATGTATATCATTGAAAATAATAATTTACTGATTTATTGAATTAAATAATTAAATATTTATTAAATAATATTAATGTTATCATATATTAAATTTCTTTCATTAAAAGCAATGAAACATGAAAATATTTTATAAGTTATTAAATATATTATAAGTTATTAAATAGGATATATAATATAATAAAAAATTATTAATTTAAAAAATATTTCATAAAATATCAAAAATAAAATTAAGTGAACAGGTGATGAAAATAATTAATGAAATTTTACAAAAATTATATATATTTATAAACATTTTTAAATATTGTACATCTTTATAATATATAAATTAAATTTGTAGAAAAAATATGCCAATAATTTGAAAATTATATATAATGTACATTTTTATTATCTATTCACTTTTCTCTGAAAATTAATAAAAATATGAAAAGTTAGAAAATATTAAAAAAAGTTATTTGTTATTTATTTAAAAAAAAATATGGTATTTGCTGAAATTATAAAATATAATAACAATATGAATTAGAATAAATTATAACAATTATTTGTATTAAATAGGTCATTAAGTTAATATTTTACTATATAAAATAATTTTACCATTTTCATATCAAATTAATATTTCATAGATTACTTTATTTAATTTTATTTGACTTGATTTTTTCTTAAATTTATGTTAATATCATATTATATAATATCTCTTATTTTTTTGTTAATAATTTTTATTATTTTTTCATATTGCTTCATTATTTTATTAATATTTTATGAAAGAAATTTTATATTATTATATTGAATTCATATACAAAAAAATTTGTGTATTATGAACTTGTATAAACTTTGCATGATATATGAACTTTATATACTTTTACTTTAATAAGATTTAAATTTTCAGTTATTTTAATAAAAATTTTCATTTGTAATCTTTATATAATTTTATGATAATTCTTACATATTTTTTTATTAATAATATTTTGAATTTTTATCTTTATATATATAAATGCACAATATAAATAAAGAATACTCATTTTTTTAATATAAATTCTACAATTATTGAAATACTTCATTTTATTCTTAGTTTAATAGATTGTAATTTTCTTACAATCAAATATTATACTATTATTTTAGAACTTAATTCTATTACTATTATTTCTAATTTTTTATTTATTTTATATTCTGTCTATTTATATTTTTTCATATATAAAATAATATATAT